GATGGCTCAGTGGCTAAGAGCACTGACTGCTCTACTAGAGGTCCTGAGTTCAATTCCCAGCAACCACATGGTTGCTCACAACCATCCGTAAAGAGATCTGGTGCCCTCTTCTAACCTATAGGCATACAAGCAGGCAGAACACTGTATACACAATAAATTCTTTACAAAAAAAAAAAGTCAGGTATGATGGTACAAGTTTGTAATTCTAGAACTCCTGAGGTTGTGACAGGATCGTCATGAGTTTGAGGCCAGCCAGGATTACACAGCAAAACTCTCCCTTAAACACTGGAAAGAAAAATTCCTGTCATGTGATGGAGATCTCAATGCCATTATGCTAAGTGAACAGGAGTGTATGATTCCATTCATATGAGGTGTCTTAAAATAGGCAGCTCACAGAAATAGGAAATGAAATGGCAGGTGCCAGGGGCAAAGGGAAGAAAAGTGGATTAGTGTTTACAGGCACAGAATTTCAGTTTTACCAGAGCAAAAGCTCTGGAGATCTCTTGCACAATACTAATAAAATTACTACTTGACTTCTAAAAATCATTTTCCCTAATTTTTTCATACAAATATACAGTGAAATATGACCAGGTCTAATCTCCATTTCCCAATCCCTTCTCTCCCCCAACTTCATTTTTTTTTTTTTTTGATAACCCAATTAGTGCATGGGTATGGGGCCATCTGCTGGAACACGGGAAAACCACCAGAGGAAACAGTCAAATGGTGATTGCCCTTCCCTCAGCAGCTGTCGTCTGCCAACAGCTCCTCATTCAGGATGTGGTCTGGACAGTACCTCCCCTCTCTTATGCCCGATTTTTGGCTTAAGTTTCTCTCTTAGTGACCAAAGAAATGGCGCAATTGTTGGGAGGTCTTGTTTCTTTCAAAGGGGTTCTACTGCCCGTGCTCTTCCTGGCAACAACTTAAACCATCTCTAACTCCAGGTCAAGGGATCCACCAACACTCTCATCTAGCCTTGGGCAGCAGGCTCTCATGTGGTGCACACACACACATTCAGGCAACACTCTCAATCCATAAAAGTTATGTTAGCATACATGTATGTGTGTGTTTGTATGTATGCATGCATGCTAAAATATCACAACTGGAATTGGATTCAAAATATTCTGAAGGGTGTAAGCAGGCATACATGAAATACCAACAACACCAACTGACAATCCTTAAAGCTAAGTTCTACCAGCGCATTATACAATTTTTTATATTTTTGAAGCTTTCAATTATATGAGCTTTTGTTTTTGTTTTTATCGAGACAGGGTTTCTCTGTGGCTTTGAAGGCTCCCTGGAGCTAGCTCTTAGTAGACCAGGCTGGTCTCGAACTCACAGAGATCCGCCTACCTCTGCCTCCCAAATGCTGGGATTAAAAGCATTCTCCACCACCGCCTGGCTACACAATTACACAAGATTTTTTTTTTTAAATCAAGATAATGAAATTGAAAAAATAAATCAACAGAAATGCTAGGCAAAACAGTTAAGAAAATTTCTCTGAATGTAAAACCAAAATAACTAAAAGGGTGCACGGAAGCAGCAGGCCTTCTAGAAGGCCACATAGCTAATAGCAGTCCCAGAAGAGAGATGTGGCAGATAATGCCCAACTCCAAGAACCACCTTGTGTACATCACAAGGCTGTGATTGCACTCTGATGATGGTGGTGATGTAAATGCACTCATTTAAAGGCATCCTTTTGGTTGTTTTGCTGAAAATAAAAATTCCCAAATCTATGACTGAAAATTGCTTAAAATATCCCAGAAAACACTCATATATGAACATTTAGTATATGTTTGTTTTGAATGGCTAATTATTATTATTATTATTGTTTTTTTGAGACAGGGTTTCTCTGTATTGTTTTGGAGCCTGTCCTAGAACTTGCTCGGTAGACCAGGCTTGGTCTCCAACTCAGAGATCCGCCTGCCTCTGCCTCCCAAGTGCTGAGATTAAAGGCGTGCACCACCATCGCCCAGCTTGAATGGCTAATTATTTACATTTTTGTTGCATTTATTTATTTTTCATGTGTGTAGAGGTCAGAAGGCAGCTTGTGGGAGTTGGTTCTCTTCTTCCACTTTGTTCAATCCTGGGATTGAACTCAGGCTGTTGGGCCTGGCAACGAGATGCCTTAACCCTCTGTGCTATCTTGTCAGTCCTATAATTTTTAATCAGTTGAGTGCACACATCCACAGTGCAACCAATATTCAGACATTTGACTTCTAGGAATACTTTCTTAACACATTCAAATGGGAAGACACTATTGCAGACATTTAATTCAAATTGTGCTTTGAATAGCAAATTCCTTATCTAAAAGACTGTTAAGAGGACTGAGAGGCTAAATGGTACACTCACCCAACATAATATTCATAGAATATGAATATATACATGAAGCACATGTGTATCTACATGTGCAGAGAAATGTGCTATAGATATGCAAGCAACAGATCCAATCACACACACTGTAGTATTCAGAGGAAAAAAAAGAAATTTTCAAATTTGTGGCAATATAGATGGAACTGTGGACAAAATAGTAAATAAACCAGACACAGAAAAATACTGCATGGTCTATCATGTATGGAATCTAGAATGAGCTAACTAAGTGCAGACAATAGGTCACCAGAGGCTAAGAAGGGAAAGGAGAATGGAAAATAGTGACACTAGAGTTACATTTTTTTTTGAGACAGGGTTTGTCTGCATAGCTTTGGAGTCTATCTTGGCATTCACTCTTTAGACCAGGCTGGCCTCGAACTCAGCGCTTTACAGCACAATAGGGTGACTTTCAGAATGACTATTTTACAAAGCAGTATCAGTGATTCCAAGATTCACAGAATAAAGAAATGGTGCTTGTAAGAAGACACAAATTCGAACCACCCTGATTGCATCCTGTGGAATCCCATTGCACACTGTACAAGTAGAAAGCCTAGGAAGCAGCCAGGCTTTGATGGCGCTCGCCTTTAATCCCAGCACTCGGGAGGCAGAGGCAGGCGGATCTCTGTGAGTTCGAGGCCAGCCTGGACTACAAAGTGAGTTCCAGGACAGCCTCCAAAGTCACAGAGAAACCCTTCTCTCGAAAAACCAAAAAAAAAAAAAAAAAAAAAGCCTAGGAAGCCTAGATTCCTGAAAGCAAAATGAAAATCCCTAATTCTAGTAACACAATTTTCGGGGGTGTTGTTTTAAGTTAACAAAGAATAGTAACTACAAAATATAAAGTCAAAAATTTTATAGAGATGAACAGGAATTTGTGTGATTTAATGTCTTGAAAGTAAAATATGCTAGTCACAGGATAAAAATAGTTTCATTTCACCTAATTTCAGAGATGAAATTTCACTTGTGCTGTGTTCCCCAGTTAGGCCTGCCCTCTTTTCAACTGAGGATGATCCAGTTAGAAACTTCATAACTGGGATCTCAAATATTTCTCAAATAATCCTCAAGTAACTAATACCACTGGCTAGCTTGTTCTCTGGAAACCCAGAGTGTCTCTCAAAGAAAACACCCATATGCATTTGAAGCAGCTATTGTTAGTCACATAAGAATTTAGCTTAAAGGAAATCTTGTAACTTGAACCAGCCTTCTGATCCAAGAATCTAAATTTGGAATTTGATTCTGTAGCCAAATCTTTCCACTCAACATCCTTTTGCCTGTCTTATGTTCACAAACCACACACATACGGCCCTAGGGATGCAATGAAATGGCTTCAACTCCCTTGCTAGGTCACATTTCTCAAAGTGTTCTCAATCAGGGAAAGTAATTCCTACTTTAACTCATTTACACAAGATTCACAGAACCATGATTCATGGCTACTAACTGGGTAAACTATCCTTTCTTCTCAGATTCTCAAGGTTTTATCTCACCAAGTATTTTGAAAACTTGAAACATAAAGCTTCCCAAATTCCCAGATACTTTTTTAAAAACTGGGTCCTACTAAATGCAGCCCTGCTACAGACTAGGCTGGCCTTTACTTTTGTTTTTCGAGACAGGGTTTCTCTATAGGTTTGGAGACTGTCTTGAAACTCAAAGACTAGGCTGGCCTTGAACTCAAGAGATCCACCTGCCTCCCAAGTACTGGGATCAAAAGCGTGTGCCACCACTGCCCAGCTGGTCTTTATGGCCTGCATTTGATCCATGCTCTTAATACATCTTTCATTTAATTCTCAAGAGTCTGAGGTTCATGACTCAGGTGTCAGTCTTGGGTTATTTACTTGGTTAAACACACCTGAGAAATGGGAATTGCCTTTATTAGCCTGTGGGGCATTTTTGTTAATGGATACAGCACGATCTAGCCCACTGTGGGAAAGTACCATTGCCTATATACAGTAGCTAAGAAGCCAGTCAGTATTAGTTCAAAAGGCCTAGGCTAATACCCAAAGGAATGCATTCCCTGACCCCCCTCAAAGTGACATAACAGCAAGTACAATTTGTGCATAAATTTCATTATTTGTAATACTCATTCACAACTTCTACCCACTGGATAATATATCTTTACACACCTTAACAGAGGATTTCAAAAGCCCAGCCTTGACACTGGTAAAGTTCAACACTCAAAACTAGCTTCTGGATCTCTCCACAATACTTAAAAAAGCTAGTGGTCTGCTTTGAGGTCTACCTGGGTTAAAAGGTTCTACGACGGTTTCAGTCCACCACAAGACCAACGGCTTCAAGTTTTAGATGGGATTAGCCTGGTTTACAATGAGACCCTGACCCAAACATCTCCAAACTTCAGTGTCAAGAAATATCTGTCCTCCCCTATCAATCGAATTTAGCCTTTAAATCGGTTTAGTGACCTCTAGAAGTTAACTCATCTTTTTCTTTCACTTTACCAATTTTAAGCACACCTCTAATTCAACTCCTTGTTCAACAGTTAAAAAAGTTGTTCACTGAGGACCCACTCCGGTTCAGTTTCCAGCACCTAAAAAAAAAAGTCCCAGGCAATGGCACCAGACACCCTGATGGGCCAACAAAAACATGCAATAAAAACTTGTTTTATGAATAAAGGCCAACAAAACTTAACCAGGTAAGTCAATTTATTAAAAAAGTTGACTTAGGCGTCTGCAATAGTGACTTCAACCTCCACTCCTGGCTCAATGCTGATGGACGTGATCTGCTTGACAATCTCGGAAGGACTGTGCAAATCAATCAGTCGCTTGTGGATTCTCATCTGGAAACGATCCCATGTCTTGGAACCTTCACCACAAGGTGTTTTTCTTGTCGTGATTCTCAGCGTCTGCAACGAAACATTAGATACTGTAGTCTACGTGTGAACAATTTCCCCCGTACACCCAAGACTTCAGATACTAGCAATTTCCACAAGACAACAGCACCCAGAGTTTGTTGCTTTAATAAGACGTCGTACTCGGCGCACTACCATCAGGTGTTTGGTACCTAGTACGAGCCAAACCGCACTCTTCGGGATTCCTTTTGTAACCAGGCCCCGGAACTGCCAAGAACACCTGTTTTGCACCACCAGACGCTTCCAGCTGGCATTTACCTTGGTAGGCATGCGCACCGGCCCCTTCACCTTCAGATTCTTCTCCTTCGCGCCTCTGATCAGGTCGGCACACACTGCGGGAAGAGACACACAACGCCGCCTTTCAGTTCATTCAGAGTGACTCGGGTCGCCCTAAGGAGCTCGGGCTTATCGGCTCAGAATAGCGTATAAGAGGCATCACGGCAACTCCGCACAGTAGGTGTGTCCTCACCGCCGAGCGCCCACACCCCGGGTGCGCCAGGCACCCACCACGCGCGCCCCCGGGGCCACCGCACTACTGACCCTTCTCCAGCGACTTCACGTTGCGGCTGGTGAGCGTGATCCGAATCCGGTGAATCGCCACCTCGGGTTCCACAGGCGTCTTCCCGGTGTCTTTAAAAGCCTGTTAGCACGCAGGCGGGGAAACAAACAGCGCAGCGTTAAGTGGCGGCCCACTCAAGACACACACACGCCACCGGGACCCTCTGCCGGGGATCACGAGCCCCGCGGGCGCCCCGGGCCTCACCATGGCTGCGGCGCGGCTTCCTGACCGACTTGTTCCTCGGCGGGAGCGAACAGCGGTGAGTCAGGACGGGAGCGGACGGGCAGAGCTCCGCGCGCACCACCACCACGCCTCGAAAAGGAGGGCGGAAGGGCCGGCGAGCGCTTATATAGCACGCTCGCATCCGGGGGCCCGCGCGCCCCGGAACAGGAACCGCTCCGCCCGCCCAGAGGCGGCCGCGGGAGGCGGGGCCGCAGCGCCAGGGAGTTGGCGGGAAAGCTGAGGGCGCGCGCGCTCCCCCTGTCGGCTTGGCGGAGTCACTGCTCCGGTCCCGGGGGACTCACGAGGCTGGACCCCAGGGCAGCTCCCGACGCCCGCGCTCTGTGCGGAGTCCCTTGCAAAGCGTAGCCCCTTGCAAAGCGTAGCCCTCCACGGTCGTCACAGAACTTCACATGCTTCCCATGCACACCCAGCCAACGTGCTTTCGCCAGACACGAGAACGACTTCCGGGTTTCACTGACACGGACATTGGGGAAGAGCGATCCCAACAGGCCAGGTGTTTGAATTTATTTACTTGGTGCGGAAAAAAACCGTGAACTCCGAGTTCGATCCTGTTCGTCCTCTGTGGAAGGAGAGAATGGATTCCCAAAGGTTGTCTTAAGACTTCCGATCGAGAGCTGTGGCACCCACGCCCACCCCCTATTAATAACTAAAATTATGTTTTAAAATTATTCGGGGTGGGGGCGGCCGGTGGTGGCACTCGGATCACGGGCAGAGGCAAGTGGGTCTCTGTGAGTTCGAGGCCAGCCTGGTCTACAGAGTGAGTTCCAGGACAGACTTTAAAGCTACACAGAGAAACCCTGTCTCGAGAAACAAAATTACTCGGAAACTGTTTTTCAGAGCTGAAGTGCCCTTTTGTGATATTTTAGCGTCTACACCTCCAGCCCGGGGCTCTGTCGGGTCACTTTGTACCTGCAGCCCGACCTGCGACCCGTGTGCCCAGTTTTTCACTGAACACAGTCTCTCCTCTGTGTGGCGATGAGCAATGTGTATTGGCTAAGACCTCCGAGGACTCCCTTAGAACGGAGCATCTGTTCATAATAAAACCCGTGTCCAAACGCAGCGGAAGGAAAGCCAAGCGAGGTCAAACGCCCTGAGAAGCGGAGGAGGGTGCAGGTTGAACTCCCACTCCAAACTCCCACCCTGTCAAGGATGAGGGCGTGGTCAAATAGAATGTAAACAGGGAGGTGGCCTTAGCGCAAGACAGGAGAAAATCACATTAATTTGCAGGTGAGAAGTTATTTACTCAGACCTGCCAGAATGGTGAGGGTCTGCACACTGAACCTCTCCAATCAGGGATTTAAAGATACTCTCTTCTAATCTTTGGGAGAGAACTAGACTTGAAACTTCTAATCACCAGCATGGCTCATTTTTCCAGTGAGCTAGTAACCGGCTTTCTGACTTATAATGCACAGGAAGGTTTGCTGTCATTGAACAATTAACTAAGTGTTAAAATTAGGAGATTTTTTTCAAGTTCAATTATTTTTTAAACATAATCCACTGACTACAAATACTCTACTAGTAGATTTCACAGCAGGAAAAAAATCTGAAATCTGTATTCTTTTTTCTTTTCTTATTTGTTTTGCTTTTTTGAGACAGGGTCTTACTTCTCGACTGGCTTGGAATTTACAGAGATCTCTGCCTCTGCCTCTCGAGTGCTGGGATTAAGGCATGTGCCAGCACCCCAGCTGAAACCTGCATCCTTATTTTAGTAGCTGTGACCTCGATGAAACTTTAAATCTGTTTGATATATTTATAGGGTCATCTGCAACAAATAGGCAAATGCCTAATAGCCCACCTTTCTGAGATGTGATCTGTTTTAGTATCTTCAGGAGCCAGAAACTCAGAGGTGTGCTTGAGAAGTATAGTTATAAACTTTTTAGTAGCCCAGGCTGGCTTCAAATCTAAAATCCTCCTCCCAGTGCTACAGGATTACAGGGGCTCGCCACCATTCTCAGCTAGAATTATTTTCAAGAACAATTCTTAGACTCCCTACTTCGTAAACACTTAAGGAAATGGTGAACATGTAAACTTCTTAAACAATAAGAAAGGGAGTTTTGAGCTGGGCGGTGGTTGCGCAGCCTTTAGCTCCAGCCTTTGGGAGGCAGAGACAGGCGGATCTCTTTGAGTTCAAGGCCAGCCTGGTCTACAGAGTGAGTTCCAGTACAGCCAGGACTGTTAAACAAAGAAATCCTATGTCAGCTGGGTGTTGGTGGCACACGCCTTTAATCTCAGCACTCTTGAGTGAGAGGCAGGTGGATCTCTGTCAGTTGGATGCCAGCCTGGTCTACAGAGAGTGCTCCAGGACAGCCTCTAAAACAATGCAGAGAAACCCTGTTTCAAAAAAAAAAAAAACCCAAAACAAAACAAAACAACAAAAAAACCCATCCTGTCTCAAAAAAAAAAAAAACATTTAAAAAGGAAGAAAAAACAAAACGGACAAAATCACCAAGCTGAGGATGTAGCTCAGTGTAGAACCCCTGGTTAGCTTGCCCAAGGACTCTCTTTGGACATCAGGCACATATATGGTACACACACAAACATGCAGGCAAAAACTCATATGCATAAAATACACACATCTTAAAAAAAAAGAACTTTAAAAAGGAAAGCAAAAGGGGAGTTTCCTTTAAAAACTGTAATTGTGGCTGGGGATTGACTCCAGAGCATTTGTATAGCATGCATGAGCTTTGGTTCAAGGTATATCACCACACCCAAATAAATAAAAATAAACATAACCATCGTATGTCCCAGAAATCCCAGCTTTGGGTGTCTGTGAAATCAGTATCTCAGGGCTGGGGAGATGGCTCAGCAGTTAAGAGCACTTGCTGTTCCTCCAGAGGACTCAAGTTTGGAAGGTTCTTAGTTACCTGTAACTCCAGCTCCAAGGGCTCCATTGGCCTCTTCTGGCCTCTGGATACCTGCACACAAGTAGCATATACTAACAGACACATGACTGAAAATAAAAATATTTTTAAAGTCAGTATCTCAGAGAAATAACGTCTCATATCCATTGTAGTATGATTTACAATAATCAGAGTATGGAAACAACCTGAGTATCAGCAGATGAGTGAATGAAGAAAAGGACGTACATATAAATGGAATATCACTTGCCCTTAAAGGAAATCCCGATGTGTATCTGTGAGGCTGTTGGCATTGTATTAAGTGGAGTCAGGAAGACAAATAGTGTGTGTTCTCAATGATATGTGGCAACCAAAAAGTCTTAACTCACAGAGGCGAAGAGGTAAAGCGCAGTTACCAGGGACAGGGTGGGACAGCAAAGTCTGAGGAGATGTTTGGTAAAAACCATTGTTTAAGATTTTGTTGGTTTTTATTTCAAACTTTTTGCTGCGTTGGAAAGAAAATTTTAAAGATTTCTTTATTTTACATGTATGAGTGCTCTATCTGCATGTACACCTTTATACCAGAAGAGGGCATCAGATCCCACTACAGATGGTTTTGGGCCACCACGTGGTTGCTAGGAATTGAACTCAGGACCTCTGGAAGAATTGCCAGTACTTTTAACCACTGAACCATCTCTTCAGCCCCTTCTGTTGGAAATTAGTGGTTATAGTGCCGCCCAAATTTCCAGGTAAAAGGTAATTTTCTGTGTTAGGGTATAAGGTAGCTATTGAATGAAAAGTAGAAATTAACAGTAAGTAAAATGCTAAAGGAAAACACATATTTTCACCATTCCAAGATAAGCAATTTAAGCCTTTAGGTATGTATATATCTTTTTTTAAAAAATGGCCTATATCCTATGTACAATATGATTCCAAGTATATTTCTGTTCCATTCCCTTTCTTTATAAAATAATTGTTATAATAATAATTAGTGTGTATGTGAGTGTATGATGTGTGTGTGTGTGATGTGTATGTGTGTCTGTGTCTGTCTGTCTGTCGGTGTCTGTGTGTAGGCCAGAGAATAATTGGTTTCTTTTTCTTCTTTTTTTTTCTTTTTTGGTTTTTCGAGACAGGGTTTCTCTGTGGCTTTGGAGGTTTTCTTTTTCTTTATTCCACCTTTACTTTTGGTTGTGAGCCCAGCCTTCAATGGCTGAGCCATTTTTCCAGCCCTCATTCCACCTTTATTTATTTATTTACACCTTTATTCGTTTAGTTCCAGGGACCGCACTCAGGTCAGGCCTGTGGCATCCAGCTGCAAGCACCTTCACCTGTTGAACCGTCTTTGCCAGGCCCTTTTCACCTCCTTTAAGCACAACTGTGACCGAAGTCTGCAAAGAAACCACGTCCCTATTGAAGGCTCATTGACTTCACCACGGATAGTCAGTGGAGAGATGCAAGGTTATGGATGAGACTTGACAGTAGCTTGGGCTCGCTTTAGCCTCTTGTGGGCTATTTGTGGCCAATTTATGTCTCTTCTAGCAGTTTTGTGACTGTCACTTAACACTCTCAGAATGCACTGTGTACCTGACTACTGAATTCTACCACGTCGAAATCTAAAGTTATAAGGTAGCATCAGAAACCTCCAGAACAGGCCTCTTCCACTCTGCCATACTTGGCCACATAGTGTCCCCATCGACGTGTCTGGTCAATGCATTGACTTTTTTTTTCTTTAAAACTTCATGTAACCTCTCTGAAGTGGGACGTATCATTCTGAGTGACTGAGTCTGTGTCTCTGTGCTATGGCGACTGATGTCCGGCTTGGGGGAAGTGCTCTCTCATTCCCCTTGGAGCAAGAGCTGTGTTTTGCAGGGACGCTCTGTATCATGAATTGTGTGGAGGGGTCTTTGGTAGCTTTTAGGCATGGGTTTGTTCTCTCTCTCTCTCTCTCTCTCTCTCTCTCTCTTCCTGTCACTCCCTCCCTCCCTCCCTCCGTCCCTCCCTCCCTCCCCCCCCCTCTCTCTGTCTCATCCACTCCCCTCTCTCTCTGATAAACAATCCCAGTAAGTGTAGAGCTGTCTATCAGGCCTCTTAAGCTCTGTAGTTATGTATGAGGCTGGGTGGGCGCCATCTGTACTGCAGGGCATTTAGTCATACCTTTGGCCTTTAACCCCCCCCTTACCAACAATCACCCCTCCCCTGGAGCTGTGACCTCAAACACAGGCTCAGACACTGCCCAGTGTTTTCTGCGGGGCATAGTCAGAACCCTTCCTCACCACTGTTGAGA